ATGTTTAGAAAGAGTCAAACATGTGACCTCTAGTTGGTAGAGGCGCCTTAACCACTCCGATATGAGGTTATTTCACACTATTTAGGATTAAAAATTATTTATATTTAGTAATTAACTGATTTTCCTTAATAAATTTCTATTATAACTTCAAGAGTTTAGGAAACATAATTTAACCTCTAAAACTTTATTAACTCCGTAAAGTTCCTTGAAAATTTTAGATGTGTAGATTTCAACTTTATTTTATTATTTGATTTTATAAAATTATCAAAATGCCTCTAATATTAAAAAGTGTGTATTTTGAGCAATACGTGATCATTTTGCTTTATAAAAATACCGTCACGATTGAAATTTACTATTTTAATTATGTAATTATTTGGAGATATTTAGAATGAATCATTTAAATAATTAGATGATTTTTTATGAGATTAAAGCATAGCTCTTGAGTTATATATATATATATATATATATATGTATATATTGTCTAGACATTTATTTTAAAAAAGATGATTTTAGAGTTATAAAATGATTAATTGACTATATGAGGTGTTACTCGAGTTATAAGTTTATTAGGATGCTTTCAACTCGAAATATGTAATTATTAACTTATCTATCATATAATAGATAATGTAATCACATTTATGATGTCGTTTTAATATCTATAGCTATATGAGACACCTTATGTCGGAACTGACAGTTCCTATAATTTTAATTGATATGAGGAGCGTTCTTAAGCATAGTTGACCGAGGTTGACCCTAGTCGACGTAGTTGACCGTAAGTTGACTTTTATGTTGGCTTTTGGGATAAATTAATCATTAATTCACTATTCGTTATTATAAATTGTAGGTTACCAGTCAGCGACATTAGTTAAGCAACCTACGTTATCAGGTGAGTCTTCATGAGATTTCACTGGGATGCATAACTAAGTACAATTTTTTTTGCATTATATGAATCGTTGATGATGTGTATGTATGCATGATATTTCAATTACATACATTATGATATATTTTACATGTATGTTATTTTGTGAATGGTTACACGCTACGTGTTTAATCAGTTTTCGAATAACTCTAGCATGTTGTTTCATATTAAAGTTTTATGATTCAAGGGTGAATATTTGACCAGTAAGTCACGACCAGTATAAAACACGACCCGAAAAAGTGGGTGATCAATTAAGACTGACATATCAACCTAGGGCGTGTTTGTGACTAAATGACCCATACTCGACTAAACATTATATGAGATTTCTTATTTTTAGTGTTTTAAATATATTTTTGTAAAAGTTGTGACTTTTATTATAAAACATGTATATATGCCCCCCCCCCCCCAACACACACACACACACATATATATATATATATATATATATATATATGTCAATAGATGATTTTATTCACGCAAACCATGAACTCACTAAGCTTTATAAGCTGACTATAGTATGCATCTCAGTGCCAGGTAGTTCGATGTTGGATAAGGGCAAAGGACACGCTTAGAGAGTTGCCTATTATCATCTTATTTTTAGTCTTTTGTCTAGACAATTATGTGTCGATCTTTTGTAACTTAACATGGTATGAGATGAGTTAGAACTTAAGTAAATTTTTGGTTGATTCAAAAACTTCCGTTGTAAACGGTTTTATTTTAGCCATCTTTTTGGAGTATTTATTTAGAAATTCGTTTTAGATTACATAATGTTTCAAAAAAAAATGAGGACGTTACAAATATTTCTTTTCAATGCATAAGGACACAGAAGAGTAAAACAATCCACAAGGGAATAAAATAATCAACAAAGAAATCTTTAATCTATGAGAATCAAGTCCCATAAATAACTCTCATTATCTCCAAAACAAGTGCCAAATACGACTTTCGATCCATCAAAGAGGATTTCTTTCAAGAGAAAAGAGCTTAGTGGCGGATTCAGAAATTTTTATTATTGGGGGAACCATTCAAGAATGTCAAAAAAAAATCTGAAACCGAATAACTCTTTCGAACCAATACAAAATTGGTTATTCGGTTTTCGGTTTTAAGATCCACTTTAATAGAATAAAAAGAACCCTTTCATTAGTATTATAGCAAACAAAACAAGATAAATAAAATGAATTTTAACGGGTTGACACTTTAGAAGTTAAAGAATTAAAGTTTAATTGATCAAGTAATGACGCATTCAAGTAAGAGTTCTAAAATGAGATGACAAGAATTAAAATTGGCTCTAACTTTTATTTGTTATAGGCCTATTAATAATTTTAGGTTAACAAAAAATAAAAATAAACCTACTCTTGGGGTTTGTTGGGAGCCTGTGCCCCCTACCCCTTTGTTGTGGATCCGCCAATGGGCTATGACAAGTTCATGGAGGTTCCAGGTCGAGGTATGAATATCGATTTAATGGTTTAGATTACTGAATGTTAATACATTACATACTCCGCAAGCTGACTTGTTTGGGTCAATACCACACAACCACCGACACTTAGCAATCTTTCCCTTTAGATTCATATAAATTATTTTAGATAGCACATGTCTACATTATGTAGGCCATAAAAAGATACATAATGCATATGTATTTCAACTGGAAACAAGTATTGTGATAAAACTATGTAGCTACACCTTACTATTGTTGATTATGGAGTTGCTGATGATTCAATGATGACTGATCTGATACTGATTTGACATTGTTTAGGGTCCCAACCCTTGGTCCATAACTTGGAATGGCAATCATAAATCCCTACCATAACTTCTTCCTTTACAACCTCATCACCTCAATGGCTTAAACAAAAAAAAAAAATGATATCAGTTAACCCTCATCAAATCAAGGCAAGCCAACCTCTGAACGTAAGCATATTGACAAATCACCCCTGAACCTACTGTGAATGGGACAAAGTCCCTGGTTGTGTTGGGAATGGTAGAATAGTTGAGGTGCTTTTATATAACGACCCTTACATCCCATATAATGCCAAGTTGCTCCCTTACATCCCAAGGCCCTCTTGATATTTAATATGTACTGGACCCAACTAGATAGTTAGACAATTTAACCCTAGTTATGACCTTGGTAATATAAGGCACTTGAAAAATTGAGATCTGGTCTATGTGGGACAAACCAAATACCCAACAACCATTAACACATTTTGCAGCATTTCTCATCGTCCAACTCTTTTTCTTTACACTAATCCCCCTCTTTTGCCTTTATATATGCATAAACTTGTTTCCTTTTTTCAAGTGTATGGGGTTGTAGTCGAACAAATATGAATCAATCTGAAATGATAGTAGTGGTTGATGGGTCCAAATGTTAAGGTTGTCGTCAATGATCCCAAGTTACTTTACCATAACAAGCCCCTATTTGCCTCACGGGTCCCTCCAAATTCCAGAGTTTTTTTGAACTCTAAATATTTCTTCTGATGATCTACTTTATATTTTATTTTAATCATCTAAATCCGGTCATAGTGGTGTTGCAGCCTTGCAAGTTGTCAGAGGGGGAGTGATAAAGGAACGATAATTCAAACGATGGACTAAAATTAAAGTTTACCCAATATTAATAGAATACAATATTGATTTTTTAAGAATATTTAAGAAATTAGTAAAATGACTAAATTGATCATTATTTAACGGAGTTAATGACCGGGGACCACTTTTAGAGGAAAATGAAAACCACAAGGATGATTTTTAAAATTATCGAAGTTCAAATCCCACTTTTAAAGATTTCACTAAACCTCAGGAACCAAAAGAGTTCACACTTTATGAAATTACGTATGATAGACTTCTGTAGAAACACATTTTCTCAATTGACTCCATATCAGTTGTGAGTGTTGATACGCGCCAAACACCACTCGTCATAGGATTGAACTAGCACGAGGAGCTCAGTGAATCGATTTCTAATTAATTAAGCCAATTCTAGTTATGAACATAGAATTTGACCTTTCAACTACATTATAAACTAGAGAAGCACTAATCCTAGTTAATGATCAAACACCAAACCATTTAAGTCAGTTTAAACAACCATATAATGCAAGTCAGAAAACTTGGTGGTTATTTGATGCATTGTGGCCGCTTATCTGGAATCAATAACAATTACAAATTCTCAATCACAACTAACAATTCAAAATTAGGCTATAGGATTTAAGGAATCCTTCTCAAAACTCAAAACAAAAATTAAAGAATATTTCAAATGAGGATTGCATAAGTGAAATTCAATTGATATTCAAACATAAATCAAGTTTGAGCATAATTCAAAGCAAGCAAGTTATAGGGATTTAACTACTCCCATCCTCTAATTGAGAATATAAATTGACACAAACTTATTAAAGAAATTATAGAGAATATGTTGAATATGTCTTTAGTGAAGGAGAGGTTAATAAACAACTGGGAAAGGAAGATGATGGGGTCGGGGATTCACTAGATAGGGAGGGGAAGAGTTAATCGTACTAAAACAGAACTAACTTTGGATTTATTTATGAAACCGATTTTCAACAACCACCTCGTGAAAATAAAAAATAATACCGGAAAATTTGTATTGTCATATTATAGTTAATTTGAAAAAGAAAAACAAAATACAAGGACAATTGATCAGTTTTAGGAGTTATTTGATAGTTGTTAAATGATTTGATGTAGATAATTAAATAATCAGAATTATTAAACCACATTTAAATACATATAAAATGAAATATATTTTTTACTAATTATTTAAAATGAAATTAGTACACCAGTTACAAAATAATTCAGAGATCATTGAGTTTTTTTTTTCCGCCAAACAATGATTCCGATTCAGAGGCTGAAATCCAAACGTCGCCTCTCCTCTGTCGCTCGTCCATTCTCGAGGAGGTAAAATCGCCATTCTTTCGCTCCCGACGCTCCGGCGCTGCCTCTCCATCTCCGTCTCCAGTCGTGATCGTCGCTCTCCATCCATCCATCTCCGCCTCTCCTCGCCTTCCTCTAACAGTTGCTGTAGGTGTTGCAGTCGCTGCCGGTGCTGCCCTCCTCCAGCAGTCGCGGCCGGCGCTCCATCAGGTATGAAACTTTTTGTTTTCTATATGGTGGGAACTCTATGCATGAAACTCTGTTTTTATATGGGTGGAACTTTATATGTGAAACCGTTTGTTTTCTATATGGGTGGAATTCTATGTATGAAACTCTCTGTTTTCTTTATTGGTGAAACTCTATGTATGAAACCCTTTGCAAAAACAACTCTATGTATGAAACCGTTTGCTGAGGTGACCCTTATAATGATGCAATATGTGCTAAACATGTGATCCGCCCTTAGGAATTGAAGATCAGTTTTCATCGAACTCAACAAACTTAACCTATAGATACTAACTTGTAGTTTTTTGAGGGATAAACTTGTGGTTTTGTTTGAATAAAAAGATGTTGCCACTTCAATTTTCTAGAAAAAAAAATCTTATTTCAAAGTTGTGGATTTTACTTTCTTAATTTTTTGAACACAATATATCTTATATTTAAATGTATTGTCTCTATTAATTAAGCTGGAACCAGAATCTGGAAATCAATTAAATGTACTGTCTCTATTAGTGTTTCCTTGAATTTGTAAACTCCTGCCTCTTGTCATGGCATCTATTTGAAGTTAAGAAGATGGGAATCTGTCATCCTCTTTCCCATGACTTCTGTGTACCACTAGATCCATGGTCCCTATCCCTACCCTAGAAGGGCTTGAAGTTGAAGCAGACGTCCACCTTTTCTTGCTTTGAAGTTGCTGCTGGCATTTCCTCTGGTTTAAAGCAAGCAATTCCCTATGTTTTCTGAGGAAGTTCTATGTTTTTATAAGAATATGGTATGAATGTAGGGAGAATCTTACATTATTCAATGACTTTTGTTGTACCTTCTCAAAGATTATGGTAAGGAATAAATTATCTAATGAATTTTGTTGTACCTTCTTTTTGCTTGCAAGAAACAGTGGCTATTATAAACCATCACACTTCATTTTTGTTGTACCTTCTCAAAGAATATGGTGTGAAATTTAGAGACAAACTTATATTATTTTAATGGCTTTTGTTGTACCTTCTCTCTCTCAAACTAGAATACCTCTGGGTTAATGGAGTTTTTTTTACCGAAGTTAAGGTAATGGACCAGATTCGTAGCAAAAATGAGACCCTAAAAACCTTAATCATGAAATTTTAGGATTATGGATCTTATTTGTATATTCTATGAAACCACATGCAGAAAAAATATAACTAACTCTAAAAATAAACCTCCTCAAAATCGTGTCTCCTGATCGTGTCACCAATCTGCTGTCGCCCCTGTCGTTTTTGGTCTCTGCTGATCTATTGCTCCTCGTGTCGTCGTTGCTGCTTCTGGTCACGAGGCCAGGTATTGTCATAGTTTCTCTCTTTTACCAATCCTCCCGGTTAGCATCTGTATGCAATCGTGTTCAGTGATACCTAATATTCTTGAGCACCTATGTGGAATAGTTCTGTTCATTCTTAGTCGAACACATTAACTTGTTTCTTTTTTTATTGTACATAAATTCAAGCGGGGAAATATAAAAAATGGTTACGTGGTGGATTTCTCCTTGTTAGAATATGCATCATTCGCCCGATCTGAGTTCCTGTTTGATTGAGTTCTGTTGAGTTTGAATTATTCTGAACCATTAGATTCTTTATGTGTTTTTGCTCCTATCTGAGTTCTGTTAGCTTGTATTATTGATTGTTTTTCAGGTGCAACACAAGATCACCTGTTATCTGGGAGAAGAAAGAATAAGTGCAAAGTAAACATTGATTTTTCCCTCCTGGGGAAAGGCCTTTGGCAGCACCTTTTGGATTATGAGGGCCGTAAGAGAGTGTGGCTATGCTCGTGCTACTGGCGCTCCCATCTCATCCTACGTTCCAATTGCTCGCCATCTTGTTCTTCAAGCATCGTATAGCCATCACGGTTTATCTTCACTCTCACTCCCACTTTTTTGCGTCGCCGGTGGCTTTAAGCAGAATGGGTATAATGGTTTATGTTTCCATCCTCGTCCCCTATCTATTTCTTGGGTCTTTGGGGCAGGCAAACCTGAAAACATAATTCTAGCCCGGGCTACTGAGGGTGATCAATGGCGTCAGGGTCAGGAAGACTTCGGTGATTATGAACAGGCACAACAGCCAGAAGTAGGGTCGGAAGTTTTGAAGGAAGAGATTGCCCTCTTAGGAGGAAACACCGGCATAATCTCTGCTTGTTTTGTTGGTCTCGTCACTGGCGTCTGTGTTGTGCTCTTTAACAACGTGGTGCGCCCCTGTAAATCTTCTGATTTTGCATGAAAATCATATAACACCTCACCATATTTTTCGATCATGGATTCTCCTGCCCATGGTTTGAATCGCTATAAAAGTCAAAAAAGGATTTTGAAGTAAATAAACCTCAGCTGCCTTACTAAATGTCAGACTATATGCCCGAAAAATCAGTTTGTGCTATGTTTGAGAGCATAGGATACCATCCCTACAAATGGATTTATGGAGAGCAAATAACCTTAAAGTTAATTCATATTCTCCAACTTTGTCTCACTCCTATTTGCTAACTATTCTCGCTACCAGTAAACTGCTTCTATTCTAATTAAAGGTAATTAGCTAGACAATCATAGTTCATCTTCATATCCCCTTTATTTATGGCTCTTAGATGTTGACATAGTGAATAAACTGCCTCTTCTTCCAAATGATTTAGGGGTGCAATTAAAATTTAATTATCATCGTTATCTTTAATATTTGTTATATTTCCAATTACTTTGTTATGCATGTAATCTGATGATATACTCCATTTTGTTTATGAATGTAGTTAAAGAACTATCCATGCTATTTGAGAATATGTTTTTATACATAAAGTACATTCTAGACATACAAGAAACAAAAAGCCCATGATGGGAAGTGAGGGTTTTTATTTTATGTTTTTAAAGCCCTTGATAACTTCATCCCCTATGTATTTGCTTCGAAAATTTGACCTCTTTTTGAAGTATTGTAGAAATGATACAGTAGCCATTGCCGAAGTATTCTTATAAACTTCTTGAATGAACTTCTTGGAGATAGCAAGGAAGTTCCACAATTTCACTAGTATACAAATTCAGTTTTAGGCCACAAACCGAAACTGTATTTCCTTTCAATCCAGCTTCCCTCTGTGACATTATAGCATCTCTACCATCATATCACCAACCTTACTCACATATTACATCATAGCTATCCATCTGCCTTCCAGATCCTACTACCACACCCTCACGTTGCCCTCTCCAAGAGCATTAATCAACAAAATTAATAGATAAGTAACTCACATATAAGATTCTTTCAATTAAAAATTGGGCCATTAGTTTATCCCCACTTTATAGCATGAACATTCCTGAACACCTAAAAAGGTACAAAGGTACAAGTTTTATTTTCCTTGTTATGGCCAGTTGACCACCACAAAACCGATATATCAATGATTTCGAAATTGTGATATGGGATAGATTTATCAATTTTATCCCATAACCATTTAACTGTATCAAGAGGGATGGAGGAACTCTAAGAGTAAGGGATCTCACTTGAGGGTTGATTTCATCATACAATCGGAACATACATGGAGTAAATCTTTACTCTTAACCACCCAATGTAATTTTTTTAAATCATTGTCATTAACGTGAAGTTGTTAGGTCACTTAACATAGATAATTGAAACCCCAATATACACATAGGTTGTGTTTTGTACATGGAAAAGGACAACGCTGAACGAGACTGGACAGGAGTGGACTGAACGAGAGTGAGGTAGTCGGGTGAAAGAACTATGGAAGGTTTTAGGGTTTTAATTTGACATGGGTAGTTTAGTAATTCACCATATTTTCCCATCTTGCTCATTTTTGTTTCACCTGTTTTGTTGGGACATGGATTTTTTTTGCCACACTCAGGTCCTGTCCTGCCAGGCCTAGTCTAATGTTGCGCCAAACGTAGGACAACAAGTTCTTGTATTGTCCCGTTCCGCGTACCAAATGCAATATTAGGGAACAAGGAAACTTAAAAAACTAAAATACCTTTATATAGATTTAATATCTATCCGAATTCCCATATTGCAATAGCTAGCCTGGTAACCAAGAGAGAACTCATAGAAGCAAGCAGGCAATAGCAGAAAATGAAGGGTCCTGACAATGTGATTGAATTAACAAACTCCAATGTAATTAACTAATACATTTTCTGGCCCTGTTATCTAAATTCTTTGTGAGCTCTTTTTATAAACAATTTTTTTGAGCTATTTATATGTACTAAAACAAATTGTAGGCCTCTTTTTCATTTTGTTGGACTTCTACTATATACTAGACTTTTCTTCTGGGGCCCCTATTTTTGTGGGGTCCTAGGCAGGTGCATCACGCATGCCTCAGGAACGACCTGGATAACATACAAAAGCTTTTGTACATTTACGAAACTTAGTTTTGCATAAGTTGGTGTAACTGCTATAATACTATTTAAGAAAAAATCTCTATCATGCAGAGATCAATTGTGAAACGGGTTGAGAAGTTGGGCTAAGGCATGTACATGAAGGATTTTTTTAACAAAATAATACATAAAGAAAAATGGATCAGTTACTCAATTTAATTTTTTTTTGACACATGTGAATGCCGCCCTTGTTATGTTCTTTTACATTGTTGATGAGCAAAAGTAAGTGAGGATGTAAAAACCTTTGTTATGTTCTTTTGCTGATTAGGTGCAAGAAATTCGTGATCTTTGTTGGGATGGAATTCCATCTCGAGGTGCCTCATGGTTGAGAGAGTTGCCATATGAGAACACGTGGGAGCATATAATCCTGATACCGACTTGTGGAGGATTGGTCGTAAGCTTGTTGAACATGCTTCGAAGTGCTTTGGATGCTCCTAAAGAAGAAAATTCAGCAGATAGCTTAAAAGCTGTTTTGAAACCAATACTGAAGGCGGTAGCCGCTGCTGTAACACTTGGAACTGGGAATTCTCTCGGCCCTGAAGGTCCAAGTGTTGAGATTGGTGCATCAGTGGCTAAGGGAGTTGGTTCCCTGTTTGACAGAGATGCTCAAAGAGAGCTCTCTCTTAGAGCTGCAGGGTCAGCTGCTGGAATTTCATCTGGTTGATGCTTTTCTGTTATCTATTTTGTTAAATCATAAATGCATTGTCGTTCATCGCATTATATAGAATACGTAATATTGAATCTTTGGGCATATAATAAGTTCTTTCAGGTTTTCAGTTGTCATGATCCTGATGGATGCCCTTCACCAAATTACAACTCTGTGTTCTCTTGCAAGACCTACAAATGAATTTCATACGCTTCACATTCAATTTTGAAATTAACTGATTAATATGTGTTTCTAGTTGTAGTGATATTGATATGAGAGATCTTCATATCTAGAGGATAGGTAATGATAAGATAGCACCCAGTAAAGATTCTCCAATCCTGAGGACCGACTGCTGTGTGCCACTTGCACTCTCCCCCAGTCAGGTGGGTGATAAGCTCTAGTGCATTGAGGAACCCACAATGTATCGAAATTCGGATAAGCCTTCGGGAGTATCATAACCACATGAACTTCAGATACATTTCCACTGAAGGATAATAGGTGCAACTACAAAAACTAGATCCAAAATCATCACCATATAAGGAACCCATCTCACCGTCGATTATTAATCCTGGTTCTCCTCTAGAATTCACATACTTTATTTTCCCACCTTCATATGATTATTCACTTGGTATCAGAATCCAAACTTGGTGAACCTTTCTAGAATAATTGCAATTACACATCGAAAAACCAAACTCGGCACTCATCATGCCTAACAACCATTACAAACCCAAACATTCTTGGTGACGTCAAATATGTAGAGCAAAAGGGATGGGTATATGTCTTCATTGAGCATATAAATGACATATACCTCTGTATAGACAAAGAAATATCTGAACTATGTAAGAAAATGCATGAACACAAAGAACGAAACAAAGGCTTTTAGGCCCACTTAGTAGGGAGTAGGCTAAGAATGAGATGCATTGGAAATCATAATTAGGTGAACCGTCTTAGATGGTCTGTAGGCCAAGTCCTTTGGTGTGCTTTCTTTTGATCTGCTATAAATGCCTCTGTTGATGTTCTCCTCTGCTACTTGCTTATGCATTCAAGGGTTTATGTTGATGACAAATCATCATTTTCCTCATTTTCTGATTTGTTAGTGCTACCATGATACTCTTTTAGGGGTGGAAGAAGAGAGAGTGTGCTATTGCCTTCTCTTGGGTATACTAATTTTTCTGTTAATTCCAGTATGTCCTCCCTACTAGACAAATGACTGATAACTAAGAAATGCTCTGAAGAGTGTCCATCCAACAAAAAGAAAGAAAAAAAGACTTGGATGAAGGTGCTGTCAACCCCTTGACTCTACACCTACTTTCAACATTGATGATTCAAAAGATAATCTTTCAATGGCAGCGAGAGGTGAACTTTCGTTTATCTTGGAAGCAGATTGTTCCTCAAACACTCGAGTTTTTAGTCACCATAGTTCTCGATTATTTAAACGGTGTTTGCTAAACATTTTAGATGCTATTTATGTTGCAAAGCCTACTTGGCTTATCACTTGATTGATTTCTGAAAGATTGCTTATTTATTCTACCCAAAGTGGTTTGGAATAAAAGCCTTTTTGTCATCCTCCAACCCCTTCCCAGTTAGTTACATGAACCAGATTAAGCAGTCTCTCAGTGAAATTCAATGAATCTAAAGTGTTAATTTGTTACCTGAACCTCAATCATTGTGGTTCTTAATCAGGAAAAAAATTAATAGAAGGAAAAAATGGACAAGAATAGTGGGAAACCATTGTTACTATTTTGGCTCTGTTTTTTGGTTGAACAATCCAATATTATTCGGGTTAAAGTTGTGACCTCCACTATTTATCTGCTTGGAGAAGCTAGTGATCAACCATGTTCTCATATTATTAATTACTTACAGTACAGGTTTTGTTGTATATATACAGGGTTCAATGCTGCTGTTGCTGGGTGTTTTTTTGCTGTAGAGTCGGTCTTATGGCCATCACCTGCTGAGTCATATCTATCACTGACGAATACGACCTCAACCGTCATTCTTAGTGCCGTGATAGCCTCTGTAGTGTCAGAAATTGGTCTTGGATCTGAACCTGCCTTTACTGTTCCAGACTATGATTTCCGTTCGCCAAGTGGTATATTTCCTTTTCCAGTTTTGTTTCATGTGTTAACTATTAGATACCTGCTACAAGCATGTTATCCCTCAAAAGAGTGGTTTTTTTTAAATCTGTCAGCTTAATTGAGATCCTAACGATTAAATGCAATTACACCATGCAATTTTCGGTAATGTCAATGTTGCTAAACAACTCACCCTTCCCATCACTTACTATGTTAGTTAAACTAGCAAGTTCAACTGCTCTTAACCATCCAATACAAGAAAGGCAACCTTGGCATCTGCCTTTCACCATTCTCAAAAAGGTGCTTAGTAAGGTAACTTCAGCTATTCCAAAACTACCTCCTCTTGAACGCCGAAGTCAAGGCATTCTAGCAACCACACAAACTTATTTGGAATTGCACTAATATCTGTAGCTTCAGCACCTTATGCTTTTTGTTTCCCTAAACCATCAGAAGAAACCTCATTCTGAAATCAAAATATAACTTGTTGAAAACGTGCCCTCTTTTTACATTGATTCCCCTGGAAGCACTATGCACTTGCCGGCAAGTTGACTTATCTAAAAAGTAATAATCATGAAACCATATAAGTGAGCTGGTTCATGCCTTTGCATGCTACTCATCGGGATGAAACCATATAAGTGAGCTTGTGCTAGTTTGTAGTATTGTTGTTACCTTTCTTATTCGTTACCATATTTTTTTATTGTTCTGTGTGCTGCTGCTCTTATTTGATGACAACGACTATTTCTCATAGAGAAATACAAGCATAAGCCCAGCTGGGTTTGGTCCTTCGCTCATGATATCCTAGAATTCTTGAATTCCATCCTAACATTTGTTGGTTTCCAGGTGAATTACTGGGGGTGCATCTGTAGGTGTGTGGCAGAACCCCTCCTTTCCCTTGGTTTACTCATCTTTGGGTGAGGTTTTTCCTATCTTTCAAGAAGATGAAATAAAGGAAAAATATACCAAGTATAAGCTGTATAAGTTGCTTCTACTAGGTAAAATTGTTGCCTAAATCTTCTTTTTGTTTCAGAACTTCCACTGTATCTTCTGTTGGGTATCTTTTGTGGCCTGGTTTCATTGAGCTTTTCTTGGTGCACATCGTTGATGATGGTGGTAACTGACAAGATTCAGAAGACCTTTGCCATGCCAAAGGCAGTTTTCCCTGTAGTTGGTGGTTTTACTATTGGACTTATAGCCTTGATATATCCTGAAGTTCTGTACTGGGGTTTCGAGAATGTTGACACCCTCTTAGAGTCTCGACCATTAGTGAAAGGCCTCTCTGTTGATCTATTATTGCAGCTAATAGCAATCAAAATAGCAGCAACGTCTTTTTGTCGTGCATGTGGATTAGTAGGAGGCTACTATGCTCCATCACTTTTTATTGGTGCAGCTACAGGAATGGTGTATGGAAAAATTATTAGTTTTATGATTTCTCAACTCAATCCAATCTTTCATCTCTCAGGCATAGAGGTTGCATCACCACAAGCATATGGCCTGGTATATATTTTTTGTTACTATATGATAAGAGAAAGATAATAATCGAAAATTGTAGATGCAAGAGGGCTATATAATTTCTACTAAGTTGTGCTTGCTGTTTCTGGATTATGTTGCCATTTGTTGTTTGGATGGATCATCTATTAATCACTGTATTTTACATGCCTGATGGTTCAAGACATTTAAGGTATTTTTAGATGCAAAAACCATACTGCATTTAGCTTGAATCTTTAAATAGATTGTACCTGCTAGTGGAGTCTTAGCCAAGATATAGTGTTCGTTCATGTAAAACAGATAGCTCTAACCTGACTTGTTTGGGTCAATACCACACAACCACCGACACTTAACAATCATTCCCTTAAGATTCATATAAATTATTTTAGATAGCACATGTCTACATTACATAGGCCATAAAAAGATACATAATGCATCTGTGTTTCAACTGGAAACAAGTATTGTGATAAAACTATGCAGCTACACCTTACTATTGTTGATTATGGAGTTGCTGATGATTCAATGATGACTGATCTGATATTGATTTGACATTGTCTAGGGTCCCAACCCTTGGTCCATAACTTAGAATGGCAATCCCAAGTCCCTACCATAACTTCTTCCTTTACAACCTTATCACCTCAATGGCTTAAACAAAAAAAATATGAAATTAGCTGACCATCATCAAATCAGAGCCAACCTCTGAACGTAAGCATATTGACAAATCACCCTTGAACCTACTATGAATGGGACAAAGTCCCTGGTTGTGCGGGGAATGGTAGAATAGCTGAGGTGCTTTTATATAATGACCCTTACATCCCATACAATGACAAGTTGCTCCCTGAATTTCTGATATACTTTAACTAGTGCTGGGAAGGGTTGTTGGACAGTGACCACATCCAGAGGACACGTGATCCTGTTGCGAGTTGAAGCTGGTTGGCAGGACAAATCGGTGTCTCATAAGGTTCTTTGATGTAACACCCCAAGTTCGCCTCCTTACCAAGACACACGGGTGTTACAAACCTTGTAACTATTCACACATGAATATAGAAAATATATTAAAACATAGTGGAAACACTTTTAGTTGAAAACATAATCTTATTTAAAACAAAGCATATCTTGATGGATCTTAGTTAAAAAAATATAGATAAACCACCATTCTGGTACACATAAAACTAGGATACATGCTACCACTGAGACTATACAAAAGCAAACCGAAACAAAACTTGTCCATTTGTGTCTTCAAAGCATCTGAATATTAATCTGCAATATGTACTTTAAATCTTAAGCAATTGAATTGCTTTGTGATTACACATTCTCATGTCAATACATATAGAAAACCAATTTACAACCTCAAAAGATGCAGTTCAATTTTGGGTCTATTTCCACTTGGATCCAAAGATGTTTTGTTGGGATCTTTAGTTGTATAAAGATTAAGCCTTTATGGTAAAGAGGAAAAAACTATACATATTTTAGCGTATTGGCAGTAGTTCATCTACCAAACAAGAAATGCCAAAGTCAAGTCAATCTCTTGCGAACCTTCAACTAGCAAGATTGCTCCTTCTGCTTTCTGTGGATCCTCATTCAGCCCACCTGTCTTCTGTACTCCGTACTTCCTCCTTTGTTTAGTTTGATGTTTTCTTATTCTCTCTACTGTAAGAAAAAGAATCTGATTTTATGACGGTATTTTTTTTGTTTATTGGTTAATTCTCTGCTGTGTTGCAACATCAATAGGTTATTTCCATGTGAGCATGAAATGAACAAGTATAAGATGCCACAGCATCAGGGGACCGCTAAAGAATTCTGTACTCTGAATGAACATCATACTTCTAATGGAATGTTTATGTGAAGTATAATAATTAGCTGCTAGGGAATTGACATTAAAGATTGAGTACTTGTATGATTATAGAAGGGAAATTCAATAATTTTTGTTAGGAGCTCAAGTCTGGATTGTCACTATCATAACTAAGGATATGTCATTTGGCTACTTTCTTATACACCCGATACCACAAGGTGCTTTTCTTGTTTGATATTGATGTTTCTCATATAAGAGATGAAAGAAACAAAGAACTTTCACAATCTTTGGGCTAATTTACTATTGAATTTACTAGTTGAAATTTGAATTTTGATTTATAATGCATTTATTAATGCATGTGTATATATACATATACGTACACACACATACGAATGCAGTAGGAGGTTTAGATAAGAAGACTACATATTGTGAGAAGGTAAGAAGGGAAGATTTATATGTGAATCATTGAAAAAAGTCCATTTGAAAATGCATATGTGAACCCATATGAATAATTTGTAACGTCGGTTCACATATGCATCTTCAAATAGATTTTTTTCCAATTTTTCAATGATTCACATATGAATCTTCCCTTAACCTTCCCTTATCTTCTCACTATGTTTAGCCTTCTTAGTTGAACCGGCCCCACACACGCATATATATATATATATATATATATACATGGAATAGAGGAATGATCAAACGCGAAGGCGAGAGTTTCCAAGATCTACATGTGATACAAAACACATAATCACATGTGATGCAAAGATGTTGCATTGACTGACCATAGAGTCGGTTACCTTTTTTTCTTCTTCTGATTAACCTGGATATCCAACCCGCTATGCGAGCTGACTAATCCCAGGGCGACCACCTGCTTTGCAGATATCCCGGAGTCACCGCATTTGAACCTCCGTGGCCACAAGGGGATTTCTATTTCTCCTTGGATTTGAACCTGGGACCTCCTGGTACTTCTGATCTTTGGAGCCAAGCTCAAACCAATCAGGCACCACCCTTGTGGTTAGAGTGGGCTACCTTTCCAGCGATCCTTGGTTGCATTGACCAAGCCGCCTGTGTTCTTTTGGACATGTTGTATCACATGTGATCTTACTCTGTTATGACATGTGATCTTGAAACTTCTTGCCTTCTCGCAAATTGAATCTTGCCTCTCTCTCTCTCTCTATATATATATATATATATATATATATAGAGAGAGAGAGAGAGAGAGAGGGGGAGGGAAGGGTTCAAACGAGAAAACCACCCTTTTATGGAAACGCGAGAATGGCAATACTACATGTGATACTGCATTAGAAAGCCCAGCGATTTTGGTTGTTACCTAGGTCGCGGGACAAGTCGCACATACACCCCTGATTTCCTCCCATATAGTATCACATGTGATGGCCTACATATAGTATCACATGTTTTCGTGTTTTTGTAGAAGGGTGGCTTTCTTGTTTGAACCTCCATATATATATATATATACATATATTTGAACTTTTCTGTAGATTGTGCACCTTGCCTAGGACATTGGTTTGGGGGTGGCTTTGCACCATGGTGCGCCTTTTGGACTTTAACAACACTGATCCTAACCTAATATGCCTTTAAACAAGCTTCATTTTGTTAAGCTCTTTCCAATTAGATGATGTTTGCTTTAATGTTCATTTTTACACGAGTGAATGTCTTGTGCAGGTTGGCATGGCCGCTACTCTTGCTGGGGTCTGTCAGGTCCCTCTTACTGCAGTTTTGCTATTATTTGAGCTTACTCAGGACTACCGGATAGTGTTACCACTTCTAGGCGCTGTAGGATTGTCTTCCTGGATCACATCTCGATCGATAAAGAGAACAGATGGTGCGGACTATAAGTTACTTGAAGAGATAGAACCGCGAACCCAACAACCCGACACATTTTTATGTGACTCAAACCTATGTGCTTCTAATGATCCACATGCAGTGGAAGGACCAGAAGGAAGCCTTGATGAACTCTCACCTGTGTCATATAGTTTTGATGGTAATACAGAATACATCGCGAAAAAGCTTCTTGTCTCACAAGCCATGAGAAGCCGGTATGTGACTGTGCTAATGAGCACCATGCTAACAGAAGTAGTGGCGCTGATGCTAGAAGAGAAGCAATCTTGTGCTATGATAGTTGATGACAACAACCTCTTGATAGGTTTACTGACTCTGGGAGACATACAAGAGTTTTGCAAATTATCAGAAGAAAGAAACAAGATACCTGAGGTCTCTCTCTCTCTCCACTATATACACGTGGGTGGGTGGTTGCAGGTGTTATGCCCACTGTCTTATTTGCTTATATTTATATATTACCCTTCATTTTAGTAATTAGAGCTTGTTTCGAAATATGCAAAGACTTAAAAATTGTAATTGTGGGTAAATTGACACTGGAAAAATTATTTTTAAGAAGTACATTAATTTCTTTAAACAAGATGGAAATAGATCGATGGCCAAAAGAAGAGAAAACCTATTAACATCAAACTATATTGACTTTGCTAGAGCAACATTGACCTACATCATTATCGACTCTTGCAGAGGAGCAACCTTGTGCTATGATTGTTGTGTTGATAAACCTCCTGACGTGTTTGCTGACTTTAGGAGGCATACATGAGTGTCATGAATTTTTCAAAAGAAAGAAACAAAATACCTGAGATATATCTTCATACTCGTTATATACGTATAGGTGGGTGGATGTATATGTATTGCCCAATCTCCTAAAGTATATACTTATGCATTTGAGTCTGTTCACCAGGCAACCAAACAAAGAACTCAAGACACTCCCCGATTTATATGTCTTGCCTAAGCCGTAGACTTGAATGAAGTAGCCTGGCTGAAAGTTCATGTTGTTGGAATGTAGGCTTCGGCCTACTAAGTTAGACAAAAGGGAGGAGGCATAAAGTAAGGAGCCGGCCCTAGCCCAAAAGGAGCCGACCCTAGTCTCTACCCTAGTTTCCTTGATTAGGAGATAACCCTAATTATGTTTGTCTATATATATTAATCTCATTGTACTTGTAAACATTGTAGCACCTAAATAAAGAAAAACCTAGTTGCCCCCATCGTGTGAACCACGTAAATTCTTGTGTTCTTCTCTTGTTTTTGGGTTGTGCGTATTGCGTGTGTAACGTTTGACCTAACAACTGGTATCAGAGCATTAGGTTCTTGATCTGTTACACTCAATCGCTGAAACTCTAGCCGTCGTCTACCGCCCGCTGCTGTCCGCCGCCGCTGCTGTCCGCCGCCGCTGTCATCCGCCGCCGCTGTCTGCTGCCGACGCCGTTACTGTTTGCCGCCGCTGCTCATCGCTGCTGCCGTTGCTAAAAGTCTGGGATAATGGCTGAGGACGGAAAACCAGAATTGAGAAGTTTGATGGACAAGATTTTGGTTGGTGGAWGATGCAAATCGAGGATCTTCTGTGTCAGAAAGACTTGGATCAAACCTTGACAGGAATAAAACCCGTAGGGATGGAAGACAATAAATGGGTTGCTCTAGACAGAAAAGCCTTGGCTGTTATCAGATTTACACTGGCCAAGAATGTGGCCTTTAACATTGTGAAGGAGACTATTGCATGTGGATTGATGAAAGCTTTGTCAAACATGTATGAGAAACCTTCTGCTTCTAACAAAGTCTTTCTAATAAGATAGTTAGTAAACACCAAAATGAAAGAAGGTATGTCTGTTACCTCACACATTAATGGTTTCAATACCATTATATCGCGCTTGTTATCTGTTGATATTAAATTTGAAGATGAAGTCCAAGCTTTGCTTTTGTTATCCTCGTTACCGGGAAGTTGGTCAGGAACTGTCACTGCCATTAGTGGTTCAGTTGGAACCTCTAAACTCACCTTTGAG